AGTAATTACTGTTATGTTTTGGCAATAGCAGACTTTACACGATAATATTTTCTAAGTTTAACACTAATTATTCTTATTTAGAAAATATAAATATGACGGTCATAGTTTGGAATTCACAAAAGTTTCTACTTGTATTTCAAGAATTTTCCCTATACTTTTTTACATATAATTAAACTACGTTTTTGAAAATTATGTTTAAATTTGACCTATCTTTATTTTCAATACATAGTTTTTAAATATTCCTAAAACATATTAAGATCTTTTTGAGAAGCTACACTCAGAAGCATTTGAGAAAAGTTTGTACCTTTTAACATTAATTAGGCACAAAAGCTTGAATGTCAAACAAAACTAATTCAAACAGTTATCTTTTTATCAAATACTACCACTATCTAATTCAAAGGTTCTCGTCCACTATTCTCCGGTCAATGTAAAGTCTTATTAATCTTTTACTTCATATATCTAACTTTTATTAAATTTGAATTTTTCTATTGCGGCTTTATAAAATTTTAATGTAGTTTCTGAATGTGTTAATTTTATTTACCAAAAAAATATAACTACAGACAAAAATCGGTTAACTTTATGATCGCGTGGGAACCTTTCTATGGGACGGAGAGAGTATCTACTTTCTTTTTCTATCGAAATATTTTGATTCACTAAAAGCCAACGATTATTAATAGCTCACAAAAATATCTTTTCAGCATTAATTTTCAAACATACCCTAAAATCATAAATAAAATAATTAATACCGATCGAGCACAACTTCTTTTAGGAACAACCCAGGCCAGCAACTACCAATCGATTAAAGTGTCACTCATTAAAATACTATTTTGTGGGAAGTAACACTTCATTTCGAAAACCGATTTTCAAAATTGGATGTTAAATATATAGAAAAAAAATTGATGTTAGGTTAAAGTCCTAATTAATCAGATTTTCTAAACATTGGGTCTTGTCTCTTGTAAAGCCCATAAAATTTGCATTGAAAATCATATCGAAATGCTGATGCTAGAATGAATAAATGACCACATAAAAGGAAGCAATCTGCGTTTATACATTGTGCATGCTTTTTGAACTAATAGTTTCAATCTGCATATTTATAAAAACTAATTTGTATTTCTGCCATTTTTATTTTTCGGACATACATTGATATCAAATTACTTTTTAATGATATAATTTGTACTCTCAACCATCTAAAATGTTAGATCTCAACATCAACTAATATAGGCAGTATATTAAAAAAATCGATTTATGTCTTGACTTATATAAAAAAAATGAGTATTAAAACAAACTTATTGGGGGCCACTACCAGTATGTGTTTTGTACGTAATTGTGTACCATCTCAAATTCTATTTGTGCATAAAGTTTTACTTATTTTCTTTTCTAATGGATTCAGGTGTAGTAGATAATTGATACACAAACGTAACCTTCACCCTTGGGAAAACCACATTAACAAAATTGTAAACAAATTTTAATTTTAATTAAACACTAAATTAAACTTTGATGAACTTCACCTTTGGAATCAAGTGTTCATATCTTTTCTTTACGTAAAATGTTGTGATGTACATATTTGTACATTTCTAATGAACGGTTAATGTTAACTACTACTACTTCCGTCCCAAATTGAGTTGCAAATTTGACTTTTCTTGGTCAAACAATTTCGTTTTGTTCACTTAATTAGAACGTCAAATTTTAATTATATTCTAATTTGGAGTTTAGAACTTTGAAGAGATTTTAATGTAGTTTTTGAATATGTAAATTTTAATTTAAAAAATTGAATTAATTATCCATAGAGAGAGTTGACTTTTATTATTGGTTGACCAAAAATGTTGACATTGCAAAACAAATTGGGACGGAGGGAGTACTAAATTGCTATTACGTTTGCATTAGGAAATTAAATATCTTTTCAATATTTACCATTGTATTTATGTGCTTTTCAAGTAAAAAATGACATAGATTTGTCTCGATTTACACATCATGAAGTAGCACATCCTAGATTGCATGTGAATGACATTTTTATACGAATATATTTAAATTAGATTGTATCTGTAAGAGCACGTTTAAAAAAAATGATATTATTGGAAATTTTAGTTATTGATTGGATTTGGAAGTAAAAAATTGAATAATGTGCGTTTTAATATACATTTACCTTTGCATTATGTAAGAATACACATTCCCATCCGTTGACGACTTGGCATCTATCATGGCATGCTTCTCCTCGCATTGAGAAAATTGTTATAATTGTACGGTTGTACCAATATATACCATCAATGGCGTATGTTGATAGTTGATCATGGCAATTGGCAAACACCGCGACTTTAATTGGCTGCATATAACACAGACAAAAATTAAGTGAATTCGCATGCAATAGAGTAAAAGTGCATAGTTTTTCATATATGACGTGATTGACGTCAAACTGTGGATAGACTTGGAGGCAATTTATATTCTATGTAGGTTGGCAGTTGTTTTGATTTTTTAATGGGCATAACAGCAAGAGATGATAATTTCTAGAGGTGCGATTTCTTTTGTAACTATATAATTTTAATATATCCAAATCAATACGTGTTGCAGTTATTTTCCACGTAACGCAACTCTAGCAAACGGTCAGTGGCATTTTATTATTGTGATGTCATGATGACATCAGGTGTTTGCCCGGCGGGAACAGTTAATGGCCACGGTTCCCTTTTTATATATATAAAGATTCAATTAATGTGTTAATATATTATTATTTTTCCTATTTATAGTTGTTGCATATACCATAATAAGAAATCATTTTATGGTCTTTTCGTATGTTGTAAGATCAAATTAATTATTCTTGTGATTGTTTCAATTTCAATTAAGAACTACTCCCTCCGTCCCTATAACTTTGTCTCGTTTTACCTTTTTCGTCCGTCCTATTATGTTTGTCTCATACCATATTTGGTAATATTTGAGTGGTTACAATTCATTCTTACTTTATTCACACTTTATCAATTCAATATCAACCACATAATTCCACTTTTTCTTAAAAGTTGTGTCACACACCTTTGTCCCAAACATAGTGGGACGGATGTAGTACACTTTAATCTATTAATTGCATTCAGTCCCAAATTTATGTTGAAAATTGTAGGCCCCAATAGACTAAGAATATTTTTGATCGATTGGTCTCCGTCGCAAATCAAATCAGACATGAAAAGATCAGACCGGATCATACCATACTTTGACAGTTATAAAAAACACTTAAAACAAACACCTACTCTTCAGTCCATGCTAGATTGGACCACAAATTTCATACATAAAGATATCAGATTGAATAAAAACTGAATTTTTAAGCCGAATTAAAACAATCTAAAAACTCCCACATTCTTATCACATGATTTGAAATTTTTTGACAAGGCCAAAATTTTCTTATTTGATCTTATGTGGTCTGTTTAAGTCGATTTCGTTGGACCATCGATTATGTAAATTGTTTTTAGTTCTGGTTTATTATATATATATTTTTGAAATATTCTATTATATTTGTTAAAAACTTAGGGTCTGTTTACTAACAGAGATATTTTCTAATTTTCTACTTCTGTTTGTCGCTCTCCAATTTTCTGTTTTCATTTTCTAGTTTTTCTATCTCCAATTTTCTGTTTTAATTTTTTAGTTTTTCATTTTCAAATCTGAAAACATGTTCATCAATTTTTTTTCACTCAGTTCTGTGATTGTCCAGAAGACCGAAGGTGCGGTCTCATTCCGAAATTAAACCTAGTCCAACCTAAGTAGGGTACCACGCCCCACATATAGGGAAGTCGGGACCAAAACCGGCCGGTACCGGTCGATCTCAACGGTTAGTTTGTCGAATTCTTTTCTCATTTCCATATAGGTTGGCAACTCAACGCTCTTTTAAACTCTTCGCTTTAAAAAATGAATTTTAAAACAGACAGGGACCGCCTGGACGTGGATCAAACTAGACAAGGATCGTCGGGTCATCGATGGGACCAGACAGGAATCGATGGGTCATTGACCGGATCGGACAGGGATCGCCGGGTCGTCGACTGGACTGGAAAGGGGTCGCGAGGTCGTGGACTGGACTTGACGGGGGATCATCAGGTCGTGGACCGGACATGGACCACTGAGTCGTCGACCGGACCAGACCGAGTTTGCTCGATCTTCGATCGGATGGACAGGGACCGCCGGGTCAATGACTGGACCGTCAGGTCATTGACCAGACCAGGTAGGGACCGCCGGGTCATTGACCTAACCGAACGGAGACCGCCGAGTCGTTGACCATACTGGATTGGACCGAGACTGCCCACCTGTCGACCAGACATGTATCGCATTGTCGTGGACCGGATAGGAAAAGGACCATCGGTTCATTGATCAGACAAAAAGGATCGTCGGGTCATTGATGGGACAGGTTAGGGACCACTAGGTTGCGGACCGTGAAGGGGCCGCGATGTCGTGGACCGGACAGGGACCGCCGGGTCATGGACTAGACCGGATAGGGACTGTAGGATCGTCGATCGAATCGCACCAGGATCATTGAGTCTTCGAACGGATCAGACCAGGATCATCGGGTCTTCAATCAGACCGGACCGGGATTGCTTGTCGTTGATCAGACCGGACAGGTATTGTCAGGTCAATGACCGAACCGGACCACCGGGTCGTTGACCGGAATGGAGCCGACACCGCAGCAGGACCGGAATGGAACCGACACCGGAGCTGGATCGGATCCACCACTAGGAGTAAGTATGCAAATTCATTGCAACGGCGCTGTAGCATTCGCGTTTTTCAAATTTGGAAAACTAGTAAAAGTCACTTCTCCAATTCATTAAGGAAAATGGAGGCATGCCTCATTTTTTTCGTTTTGGAAAACAATTTGATAAACACATTTTGTCTGTTTTTCTTTCTCTAGTTTTACAGCAATTTTTTTTGGTAAACACGTTTTCTGTGTCAATAAACCTGACCTAATATTTTTGGTTGTTTTCAACGACTTGCAAAACCTGTTTGTGCATCATAACTTGCCACAAACGGCTGAAATCGTGTTTCAGAGTACATTTTGTTATCAAAGTTATGTTTTTGATCATTTGTGTTCAGTTTTGCCGTGTTAAAACGAAAAAAGCTCAAATTTCTATTCACGGTCCCACCACTTCATCAATCTTTTCCCTTCTTTAAGTTCTCTCCCCCACTCTCTATGGCAGTTTCACTTTCCTTTGTTTCCCCTCTCCAGTCTCCCCCTCAAACTTCAATCGCCGCCCCATGCGCTAGAGCTAAAGCGCTAAGCTCTACCTAATTTGAGGTGCGTCAGTGTTCTTCCCGTCTGGGTTTCTCCCTGTTCAACTTTCTGGTCGGTGGAAATAGAATAGATGCCCTTAAAACATCAATAAAATTAGTGTTTTGTGTGCATTTTGGGTTTTCTTTTTATGGTGACGTTGTATATGGTTGGAGAAGTGTATGCCCCACTGATTCAGGGAAAAAAAATATATTTCAATTTCAATCTGAATTGCATGTATTCCCAGTTTCTTCTTTATATAAAAATGTTTGGGGTTGGTGAAGCCAGTTGTGGAGGGTATTCAGAAGAAAGTTTCGATCTTGGCTGTGGGTTTTCATGAGGGCTTATGTGAATTGGAAGAACACAGCCATATTAGGTAATTCTAGAGAGGTGAACATTTGTGAAGCAAAGTCAGATCTTTTAGGGGTAAATATTTGTTAGTAGGTTGAGTTTCAAGGTCAAGTGTCATTCTTGAGGATCAGATTGATCATACGTTGGATGTGTTAGTATTTTTGTTAAAGCGGAGATCATAAGCTTCGAGAGATCCTATTTGCTGGAAAGTGAAAGGCAAAATTTGATTCCTTGTCTGCCAGGTAAGGCTACAGGTCATTGACCTCCATTGTGTGGATGAATTTCAATTAAAAATTTGTAGTTTTTTCTTTCTTGAAAGCTGCACATTGCCGTTATATTCAAAGTATATGGATATTGAACCTTACCCATTTTTTTGAGTTTTTTCCCGAAATTGGCCGGGTAAGAAGTGAATTCCAAAGCTCACTTTTCGTCATTTTCGGAAACTCAAACTTAAAATTCGGGAATCTTGAATTGAGAAACCCATATTCTCAAATTAGTTGGCTTCTCACAAACGTAAGGCTTCTAGGTTTCTACGGGATTTCTGTATGCAAATTGTTGATGTGATAGGATTTCTCTATATGTATTTTAGTGTGGTTCTGTGGTCAATGTCTTGCTGAACAACTTCATCCAACATTTGGTTATGTAGTAATATATGAATTACATATATGTTTGCACATGTAGTCCATATATTTGGTTATGTAGCGAAGTTTCTATAAAAATATATTCATATCTGTCTGTTGAAAAACTTATAGATGTATCCCTATATTTTTTTTATAACTAAGCATTCTCCCATGTTCTAGAAATCCATATTTTTAAAGCACTATTTTGCACGTTTGTTCTTTGGAGTTTTTATATTTGTTGGTGGTATCTTCTAAATTTTAAATGCCCTTTCCGGTAAATTTTCTACATTTGTGGTATCTTCTTTGCATTTTTTTTCTGTTTACTTCCACATACACACATTTTAATCTTATGAATATATTTTTGAATCTTAGAGTATTGTTTTGAACTTTTCTTTTTCTGGCATGTCAAATGCTGAATGGATGTGTTTTGTAGAATAGACTTGGCTTGACTAGTTTATTACTTGAGGTAACATTTGGTTAGTTGTAGTGCAATGGAATAAATTTGTAGCATATTTTTTTACACATCTTTAGTCTTTACGACTAATTCATTCCTTTATGCTGCATTAGTTCAACTTGCCAATAGTATTTGTTTTGATTGTCTAATTCACTATAATTTTTCTTTGCCTTTTTACTTCAATCCATTCGATGTGAGGCGAAACTATCTGAGAGGCTTTTCATTTGATTTTTCATATTTTATCATCTTTTCCAAAGCCCATTATTCAATTTGTGTTCGTGAGGAATACTTTTTTATTTTACTTTCTTCAACTTGATTTGAAATGGAAGAGCTGAGGCTCATAGCAGATTCATTTCCTTCCTTTTTTGCTATTATTGGTCAAGCCACTTTTAAATTATTTAACTTATAGGTTGTGATTTTCAGGATCCACATAAACATAACCAAATTCTGAAATTGGTCATTCTTTTGGCCATTCTTATTTTGGCTAAGATTGGTGAATAGTAGAACCTTAGCTAAACGAAAACAACACATAAAACGATCTCAAGAAATGGCCAAGAGAGCACACAGGCGTTCTTTACGTTATGAAAGAGATCGGGCAGGTTGTATGTGGAGTTTCATCAGGATCTTTGACTTCCGCCGTAGTGTATCCTCCAGAAAGCTGCTTGCAGATAGAAGGCAGACTATCAGAGCTGGTAAGAAATGTTTGAAGAATTCATTTATTATCATTACCTTTTATTCTGTTGAACATTCTTGTTAGTGCAGATGTTGATACCTTCCTTTTTTCTTTCTTTTCTACCTAGGTGTTGCTTCAAGCTTAAAGGTCACAAGTCCAGATCACAGTGAGAACAGCGTTCGAGTTGAGGTATTCTGAGAACTACTTCACATTCTTTACTAGTCTCAAAGGAATACAATTTTTTTTGGGAACACCTTACCAATTTATTGAAAGAGGAAACATACAAGGTAGGGGGACTAGACCAAAACCTACCCGAGAAAAATTAAATAAGGATAAGCAATCGAAAAGGAATTTACAATAGAAATTGCACTAAATGACTAAAGCATAAACCATATTCCTATATAGGTTCACTATTGTTTTCTATTCAAAATAGGACATTTACCCTTAAAAGGGAACACTAATAATTTACATAAAGACATGTATGAGTTCTCCTTTGGGAAGAAAATTGGCAGTTGTATTATTTATGAAGATGCCTCATCCGTGTTAGAAGTGAATGGGTTCTATTTTGGAAGAAAAAATATTTATTGTAGGGCACGTTTTAAATGGAGAGAATGACCCTTTTATATGACATGCTTTTCTTTATACTAATTATTTTAAAGCAAAAAGATGAGATGGGGCTTTACAAGCGAAAGCACTAAGCGAAGCGTCCTTTTCTCACAATAAGCTGCACTTCATAGACACATAATTAAATTATATGTTGTTCAGGGTTAAGACAAAAAACTTAAATACGCCTGAGCTTGTCGCTCGTCTGCGTTTTGTCACTTAAGCTCGCTTTTGACAAGCTTGCTTTTCTATGAAAGAATATATTGTTCTTTTCAACTGTGTGCCGCCATTAAGTGTTGTGTTCATGATTTAAAAACATTCAATTACATACTAGCGACAGAGGGTAAAATTCAAGCATCATAAGATTGTTTTAAGAATTCAAGATACCATGTGTTTTTGCTAAAACGTTGCCTTAGTCTTGAACTGGTTACTGATACACTGGTTTACAAGCTCTCATGTCCATATATACTGACATTCACAATTTAAAATGTCACGAACTTTAGGGCACCAAAGAAAGAGAGTTAGCAACATGTGATGAAGTTAAAACAAGGGTGAAGCAACTTATGCATGAAGATATGATCAACAAATCCACCCATAAGAATCAAAGCAATGATGATACTAAAGTTGAAGCACAACCGTTTGAGTCTACCCATAGAATAAAGCCTGCTAAAAAGACAAATGAAGTTCTCAGGCATTCTAGAAATTTATCTTTGTCTGGTTTGGATGATGATGTCACGAGAACAGGATCTGAAGTATCTTCTTCCCGATATAAAGTCTGCAGCTCCAGTGACTTGCATTGTTCAACAGAAGAGCAGTTGAGCTCTGCAATTGAGGTGTTTATAAATCATAAACTGAAGAACAGTAATATTCCCATAAGAGAAGAAGTTGAGATTAATAGTGATAAGTCCAAAGAGTTGACCGATGCACTGGAGACCTTGCGTTCTAACAAGGAATTGTTCCATAGACTCTTACAAGACCCGAATTCTAATCTGGTAAAACATATTGAAAGCCTGGACGATGGATTACAAAAAGAAGTGGATGATGAAATCACTGAACATAATAAACAGCAACCACAGCGGTCACACAGGAGAACCAAATCTCAGGGAAGCTCTCATTCTTCAAGCAAAATTGTAATTCTAAAGCCTGGCCCAATTCACAATAAGGTGCCGAGTGAGAGAAACTCATCCCTCTTCTCTTTTACTGAAATTAAAAGAAAGCTTAAGCATGTTATGGGAAAGGACCACAGGGAAATAATGTCTCCCGAGGTTAAGAAGCGTGTTAACAATAGTGAGAAAGGGATTAGTGGAGATAATGTGGGGTGGAGTTCTCCAAACAGAAACCATTTTTACACAGAGAGATTTGCCAAGCCGCTTCCTTCAACATGTGATTATCATCCCAAGAAAAGGGTACCGGATATATATCTTGAGGCCAAGAAACATATTTTCGAGATGTTGGATAGTGGTGAGGAAAAGGAAGGGTCTTCAATGAGTGGGAATTTGTCCAAATCTCTTGGGAGGATTCTCTCGTTTCCTACTAATTACTATAGTTCTTCTAGAAGTAGCTCTAGCAACAGTTTTAGCAGTGAAGATCAAATCCGTTTTCCACAGAGAAGAGTGGAAGCAAATGTGCCTTCAACTGGGGCTGTTCAAGGTATTCTTCTTTTGTTATGACTTATGAGCATCCCATATGCCATTCCTTACAAGAACATTTTTCACATATGTTCCCATGATTATTGGGCCATTCCTACTATTGCTCCACAACTTTTAATTTTTTCTCCACTTCTGTGCACGACTATTGATTTTTGGCACTTTAGGCCCTTTTGATCACTTATCTAACGAATTCATGCACAACTTATGGTTGCTTTTCTCTGGATAAGCGACCGAAAAAGACTAAAAGTGGCAAGAAATCCAAAGGAGTCGAGCGGACTTTCTTATAAAGAAAGTGTTAAGAAATTTATAGTTGTGCACCAGAAGTGGAAGTGGAAAGTTGGAAACATGAGCTTAAAATTATATTTTGACAATGGTGACAGTTTTAACAATTTACTCCATATTATGTTGTTTTCTGAACTGTTCAATGGAATATAGATAGTCAAGAAACATCTCAAAGTAAATGTCAGGAGGATGAAAGAGTCTCAAATGCTTCGCGTGATTTAAGTAGCTCTTCAATTACTATAAATACGGACAGTTCTTATGTCACTGTATCGTTCGGTGAAGAGAGCTCTGAAATGACAATAGAAAGCTTAGAGACAGTGAGTAGTTCTGATTTTCCTTCACTTCTTTTGTTATTGGTAGTTCATGCTGTATAAAACTTCGGTACCATGACTATTGCTTCGTTCCAACTTCTTATGCTCTTTCATTTTATTCTACTCATGATGCGCAATTATGAATTGCTTGCCACTTTTGATCATAGTGGCTTATTACAGTTGTTTGTCTTCTGATAAGGGACTGGAAAGGACCAAAAGTGGCAAGGAATCTGTAGTGTGCACCAAAAAGTATGAAAAAAGTTGAGGACCAGAAGTAGGAGTGACCTAATAGTCATTAGACCAAACTTAGCAAACTTTCTCATTGTTATGTTTAGCCAGAACCCATTAGCACCTGTTTATTTTTGTGTTTATGAACCCCCAAAGTTAATCACCATCAGGAACTACAAGGCGCAGAACACATTTCGCCTCCTCCAGATTATGCACACTCATTTGAATCTCGAAAAGATGATCCAGATTGTGCAATGGACAGAACAGAGCGGCCTAGTCCCATATCTGTTCTTGACCCGTTATGCATAGAGGATGACATCAGTCCTTCAAGCACTCCATGTCAATCAGGTTATTTAATTTTAAAGTTTGTTGAATCTCATTTATGTCTGGATTTATAATAGAGCAACTTCAGTAAAAGCTCTATGCATAGGAATAGTCTTGAGGCCAAGGTTTAAAAAAGGCTAGTTCGGGTATCTGAGGCAGTTTGTTTCTGGAGAGGCAAGGTGTAAGCTTCAAAATATACCAACAAACCAAACTTAACATATTTAACTTTTACCAGAAACCAACAAAAGATATGCATAATTATAAGTCGGAAAAGTCTCAAGCACAATTATATTATATGATCACATCATCAAACACAATACTTCAAAATGAGAATTCAAACACAAACAAACTCATCACACAGATGACACAATTTAGAAATCTGGAAGCTTAGTCGCAATATCTTAGCCTTAGCACCTCATCCCTTCATCACTATCAAAATCTTCCCATTCTTATCATTGCGCAGGAGTATGAAAATATATTAACGATTTTTCACTTGCCAGACTTGTTTGTGTTTAGAAAGTATATGTGGATACATGTTTAATGTATGGGCTTTTTATTATATACTCTTACTGTGCCTTTTTTAAGTTACAACCACATTAAAAAGAAACAAACAAAAAAAACCTGCCTAAAAACGCCTTGAGGCACGTCTCATGGCGTATGCCCTGTCTTTTGAGGCATAAGCCTCTTGTTGTGCAAAAAACAACCCAAGCCTCAACACCCGATCTGTGAGGCACACCTCAGAATCCGCTTCTTAACTGCCTTTTTGAACCATGCTTGAGACCTAGCTAACTCTACTCTAATAGTTAGGTTATAACTGAATAGAGGGGTATTCATACAAAATTACAAAGACCAAAAGAACAAACTTTAACAATAGTAATCATAAGAACTCCCAAAGTAGTTTTTGGACAAAGAAGAAACATTGTCACTTTAAAAAAAAATCGATAGTAAATTGTATGCATTGTTTGTATATAATTCCCAATTGAAAAATCAAAGAAAATATGAAATATTCAGAATTTTCAACTAGAATTTGTACTTTTCCAGCTAAACATACATAATCAAGTGCTAAATCATTATTAGTCTCTTTTAACAATGAGTGTAACTGTGTGTGTATGTCTGTATGTGTGTTTAACTATCATTATAATTACTACACATGGAGGTATAGGGCTTCAGTAAAAGCTCTATGCATAAAAATAGTCTTGGGAGTTGGGACCTATTTAACTCAATTATAATTGTGAGGTTATAACTTAATAGAAGGGTATTAATGGTATTATACAAACATACAAACACCAAAAGAACAAAGTTTAACAATAATAACCCTAAGAAACTACAAAAGTAGTTTTTATACAAAGAAGATACATTGTCACTCTCAAAAGTTCGAGATAGTAGATTGTATGCATTGCTTATATATAATGTCCAATTGAAAAATTAAAGTAAACATAAAATAGTTATAATTATAAACTAGAATTTGTATTTTGTCAACTAAATATACATAATAAGTGCTAAATCATTTGCTACGTAGCACGGAAACTCTCGGGAAAGAGTACGTTTCCGTTTCCAAACTCTACGGAAACTATTTGAAAACTCCCCAAACAAGCGTCTTTGAGCAAAAGTTGACGTTTCCCGTTTCCTCATGATTTTCGCGTTCCCGTGCAACATAGATCATTTGTAGGTACACGCCTACACAGTGAGTGTAAATCTTTTCTTATTATTAGTCTCTTTTATCAATGAGTGTAACTGTGTGTATGTCTTTATGTGTGTGTTTGTGACTATCACTATTTTATTATTATAATTGCCAGGGAAAATAACTTCAATAATACTATCACCCACAAACCACTAATAATACATACTTTGGAAATAACTTTTAATAATCTAACTTTTATATAGATAACAAAAGTGATACTTAAACCACTTTTCGACTAGAAATCCGATCATTTTACTCATCAAAAAATTATATCAAAATGTCAAATAAGTGACCCCATTTTGAGATAACTTTTATTTAATTGTTCGATATCAACTTTTGATGTGATAAATGGCTGAATTTGCAGTCAGAAAGAGGCTCCATATTATTTTTGCTATATATTCAATAGTTTGTATTATTAAAATAATATGTAGTATTTCGAAAGTATGTATTGTTATTGGTTTATGGGAGATAGTTGATATTGTTTAAAGTTATTTATTTTTCCCTACTTACTATACATGGAGGTATATATATTTTTTAAACGGGATCATAGAAAGTTAATACATTTTACAATTTTGAGCTATACCTATTTATAACCGGCTCAAGTTAGGACCAATAATATGATAATAACTAGATTCCCTAGATATGACCAAACATAACACATTTCATTAAATAGAACCAAGTTTGTTTTCCCCCCGAAGTATGACCCATTCACTCCTAAAAGAAGTTTTAACTGCTTATATTCTTTTATTATGGCTAAGTAAGTCTGATTTTGGAAGTAAAACATAATTGGTCCTATTTTTGTGCCTGGTCCTTGTTTTACACCAATTATTGGCAATTTCTTTAACATTTATAATAAAAATAGAGGATCTTTGTTAGTGTACATACTATATAGAGGGGTTTTCTGTATCTTCAAGTGTATCAATTGTGCCTAAAAGGAGTTATTTCTGGATCTACCACAGTTGAACCTGAAATTCAACCACGGAAAATCCATTTTGAGGAACCAGCGGACTCTACCGTTGACCAACCGCTAAGGACTTGTTTGGAAAGTGAGGAAACTGCATTTGAATATGTGGAGGCGGTGCTGTTAGGTTCAGATCTAAATTGGGACGATTTCCTCTTGCGGTGGCTTTCTTCTGATCAGATTCTTGACCCATCATTGTTTGATGAAGTGGAGCTGTTTTCTAGCCGATCTTGTCATGACCAAAAGCTCCTTTTTGATTGCACCAACGAGGTTCTCAAGGATGTGATTGACCGACATTTTCCAATTATCAGACAGAGTATTAGGCCAAGACCGAAGGGGATGGACTTGATCCATGAAGTGTGGAATGGTGTTGAATGGTATCTTCTTAAACATTCCTCGACTCGTTCTTTGGATCAGTTGGTCAGCAAACAGTTGGCAAGGTCAGGGGAATGGCTGGATCTTCATTTTGATATTGGGAATATTGGGTTTGTGATAGAATCAGCTGTTCTTGAAGACTTGTTGGAGGAAATTATCATAGAGGCTCTTTTGGGTGTTATTTCCACATGTTAAAAGGGGTTTTCTTTAATGTAAATAAATATATTCTTGAGCGCTTCATTCCTTGTTGCCAGCTGTGAAATCTTCAGTTCTTTTTCCCCGGAAGTGCTTTTTTCCATAATTTTTTTTTTGGGAGTGGGGGTGATGCAAGGAGTGATTCTTGTTGCTAGGATTTACTGTGTGTGAATTTTCTGCTCGATTACTTGTGTGATTACATAGTGGTTGTAACTGAGAATTGAAGAAAATAGAAATAACAATCATCTTGAGCTTGTATTTTCTTAAACCAGGACAGGTTTTCTGCAGTTCATGCTATTACAGTATTACCCTGTTATTATGGTCATATGGTGTCCTTTTAGAGAATGGGGCTGATTTTAGTTATATGTCGAATGAATTCAGTATGGCTTTCACCCATTATATCATGTACATATACCCACACCAACTCGCTTAACCATTCATTTAGTGTCCATTTTGTAATAAATCCTTCGTATGCAATTTTTTATTTGCGTATAAATTCCGTAACAATCAAAATAATTAAAGTTGAAATTCCTTAATTTGGAATGAGCTAAAATTATACTACGTAGAACCTTTAACTATTTTTCTATATAATTTTTCCTTAATTTGGAATGAGCTAAAATTATACTACGTAGAACCTTTAACTATTTTTCTATATAATTTTTCTTTATTTTATTAATAATAAACCCCTTTGTCCTTCAAAATTTTATAAATTTTGACTGGTATGGAGAATAATAAAGTAATATTATGTTGGGGTTTAATGCACCAAACCCCCATGTGATTTGGAAATTCGGCGCATTAGCCCCCTGTGATTTAAAAAATGCGTTAAACCCTCTTGTGTTTTAATTAATCATGCATAGAACCCCCTTTATGAATAAATTTAATGATTTGAAAATCACTTTTCTTAATATTTTGATTGAATATGCAAATAAATATGTCAAAATCTCTGAATCATACAAAAATGTTAATCATTTTTCTTTTATTTGACAATTGAATTTGGTCACATAAGGGATTTGGCACATGATTAATTAAAACACAAGGGAGTTTGACGCATTTTTTAAATCACATGGGACTAATGCGCCGAATTTCCAAATCACAGGGGGATTTGGTATATTAAACCCAATTATGTTGTTGGGGCTTGTATATAGACTATAGAGAAGAGAAAGAGAACAATAATTAAAATACTCTAAACTTTGAAGGGGCGTGAGATAAATACTCCAAATTTCCATATGTAATTTAAATATCCTAAACTTCATATAAAAAGTTATGTTAGCACCATGATCATATATTATATCTTTCAAAAATGTAAATTTATGGTTTTAATTGCACAATTTAAAATAGCAAATTAAAAACGCTGCAATTATATAGAGTGGGGGTATTATTATTTATTTTACAATGGAAGTTTAGAATGTTAATTGTATCTTCATTTATGCTAAAATATTTTAAATTATGAAATTAACACAAAAAAATAACATTTTTGAAAGAAATAATACATTACTATGGTGCTAAAATAACTATTTATATAAAGTTTGGGGTATTTAAATTACATATATAAGTTTGGGGTGCTTAACTCACAACCTTTCAAAGTTTGGGGTATTTTAATTATTTTTCCCGAAGAGAAAATGATAGGAATTATAAATCAATTGATTAAAATAGAAAGTGTTAAAGTTTTTGAAACAATAAAGAAAGGAAAGTTTTTTTGGAAGAAGGTGACTTATATTAAAGTAACAGAACGTAAGCATGTTACAAAAAGACAACAAGCCCACTGTCTACCGTCCGCCCTTGAACCGGACTTAGAACTCGTCACTTCCGAAAAAGCAATCAGAAATGTCCTAAGTTCAAGAGTTTTAACGAAAGGAAAAAACAACACCAGCAAAACAACGTGAAGATCAAAACAACGATCATAAATGAAGAAAGCAAAAATAAAATAAAAAAGTCTTCCAATCAGAATGAAGCAATGAAATCTCATGGGTTTTAGCGGGCATGGGAACTCCAGCCCGCCCCTTCCCCATTTTTTGGCCAATCAAGAGCCATCCCCCCCACCCCTGAATTTCTTTGTTCCTGTTCTTCCCATGTACGCCTCCTTTTCTAGTCACCTGGTCCGCATTTGTCGTCGCCACCCTCCCCTGAGTACCACCCTCCGTGTGGCTTGAGCTCTGCACAGGCTCCTTACCATTTTTGTTTCCCATCGTTATTTTTCCCTTTCTCTTCTCTATAGTCTATATACAAACCCCAACAATATTTAAATTAAAGGACATGTCCTTCAATATCCTTCAATATGACAATATTTTTTGGTTAAGCGTTCATTGGGATGAGATTCGAATATGTGATTTTCTTTTTGGGAGTGTCGTCACCATGATGTCAGCACACCGACTACATAGTACACGACTCAGTATGATTGTATTAGAAAAGTATGTTTAGATATGGATATTCATGATTAAGTTCAAACTTATCTTGATCGTGTTTATTAAATCTATAAAAAGTTCCTACTTTTTATTGAATTTTGATTTATTATTTAAAGAAATAGGAATGTGTCTCTAAAGTCCAAAGTATATCCATGAAAAATTACAAAATATTACTTCTATATTTTTTTTTGAGGTAATTATTACTTCCATACTTTTGGAAAACAAAACATGACTAGATTTCATTACCCCGAAAATGTGACTTTTTTTATGATGTCATGATGTGCGGCTTTTGAACATGATATGCCTTTTTATAGTAAATTGAAATAATATTTAAATGAGTTCATGATAAAGAGTCGACTAATAAAATTATAATTATTATAAATATATAATCACTTATCTTACGATTACTATAGTAAAATGAATTATTTTTACTCAAGGATGTTGATACAATGACATCAAGGTCTCTATGATATACTTTGTATATCATTCCACATTTTAAATGAAAATCACATGGCAATATTGAAAGCGGTTTTGTTGAATGCCACAATTAACACAATTTTTTTGAAAAAATTGAACACTACTTATTAACATATTGGAAGTATTTACATTAGCTCATCTGAATGTATATGTATTAGAGCATTGTTTAATTTAACGAGTTCATAGTTTTAGATCTAAGATCAAACAAAACAATTTGGGAGCATTGTTCTTCAATGAAATTACATGTGGTATAAATAATTGTTCCACCCAACCAAATGTTGGTTGCGTCACGTTGCAAACATAGTTTATCACATGATAATGGAGATAATTATCACATACTCGGTGACACGTTCTCTCGCATAATTACATCTAATAGTGGTTGTAAAGTACTGTTATGTCTTTACATGTTTTTTCTGTTATTGAGAGTGCCCATAAATTTTGAACCAGGTCAATTCAACATGTCCATATAGACTTATATTGCTTTACATGTTTGTCCTAACCATGCTCAGGTGCGACCTAAAAATCTAAAATTGCTTCCTAACCTCCAACAACAAAGGTGCCCCTGACCGTTTTACACGTGTAAGATATTATCTAAAAATGTCATGATTGTCTTCCTTTTGATATACACAAATACAAATGTCTCATCTTCTTGTGTTGCATTCACACCTTCTTCGCAGAGGCAACAAATCGACTTGATCAAGTTTGACATATTATTAGACACAAACTAACTACTGTTATCTATTAATTATATATGAAAATAATTCACTCCGTACGCTCATGTCATATATGGAAGTGTGAGGGGTGATAAAATAACTTGTCAGTGTACCATTAAATAATTTCTTATAATGAAACACAAACGTATATATCATTATGTTATAACAATGTTACTCTAAGTAAAAATGAAAATGTATACAAAGTTCTTAATAACATGTTAAAGAAGATGCATAATGAACTCGCACTTTTTTCAAAAAAAAAAATACTGAACTCGTACTTAGTTATTTAGATGAAAAGAAAATCCTATTACCATAATGAGGTTGCTTTGGTATTGATTTTTTAGCCAAAACGCTAACTTTTTAAAGCCTAAAACGTTGCAATAAGCAGCGTGTTGGGGTAGTAAACGTCAGCAACCAAACTACCCAATATGTCATTGAGTCATAACCGCCTTTATAAGTCTCGAACAATCACTATGAATGCAAAATTGCTAGTCATGCTCTTACGTAAGACAATAAGAATTTACGTAAAACATTAAACAAGAAACATCATTTACAAAAGGGATAAGGGTCAGATAAGGCCTCGAACTTCGAAAAAAATGTCAAATAAGGCCATATTTAGGCTGCTATGTCCGGCTAACGCCATTTGGGGCGGTTCCCAGTGGAATTTTTTGATGAATTTTTTTGAGAATCTTATTCATTAAGTCTAGTTTACTCATATCAAATTTGAACTACCAATTCAATCAGGAAGGAATTCAAATGAATTCTTGAAGATAATTGCGCTTTTAATTGCACAGTTATCTTCAAGAATTCATTTGAATGCCTTCCCGATTGAAGTTTTAGTTCAAATTTGATATGGGTAAACTAGATTTAATGAATAAGATTCTCAAAAAATTTCATCAAAAAAAACCATCGGGAACCGCCCTAAATGGCGTCGGCCGGACAGAACATCCTAAATATGGCCTTATTTGACATTTTTTTTCAAGTTCGAGACCCTATCTGACCCTTATCCCTTTACAAAATAATAATTGGACCATGGAATAGATTAGAGATCATCTATAAGAGAAGTTAATTAAGTAAACATAGTAGGCAAAAACAAAAGTTTGGTGATAGCATTGTCTAATTTGAAGTGACAAATTTAAATGTTTTAAATGACATAAGTGGCAACAATAATGTATTAAGGAAGAAAGATTAGCAAAATGTGAAATTAGTTACCTGAAAATGATGCCAAAGACGGAAAGAAAAGGAAAGCAACAAACGAAACAGGTGCTGCTCACAACTGCGTCGTCTTCGTCATCACCATTAACAAAAGCCTAGAGAGTCAAAAGCCCCTATCGACCAGGGGAGAAGAAGAAGCTTTTCAACTTTCAAACCCAAAGCATAAAAATCCACAGTACTCTTTAACTCGGAAATCTTTTTGTTTGTTTGTATTTTATCTCTCTAACCTTCAGTTTCTCTCTCTATATCCGGTTCTGTATCTGTACATCTGGTGTCTAGGCACACCGTATTTCACCGTCTACGATTTCGTCACCCCGTTTGTAATTCAACCCCTAAATCTCATAAACACTTTGCCTCGAGTTCAAGTCTTATAATCTTTGTCTATCTTGGTACAAGATTTCAATTTCCAAGGAAAAACCCTAGGTTTTACTCAGAGCTTCAAACACCCTATTTAAATTTTAATAGATTAATCCTAATTTGTCCACTCTGCTGGTGCTGCAATATTGAGATAACGTATTATGTTTTTCTTTTCTCAGGTAAGTTA